TAGCAAGCAGAAGGTGAACTATTGAACACATTGTCAGTTCTCTAACAACTTAACGAATAACAAAGTCTTGATAGAACGAAAAATACATCTGGTTTAGTCAGAAATTAGGTGTTGACACACATATGCCCAACTCTGTATAATTCCATTTGATCATTGAGTGTCCCTTCGGTAGCACGGTAGCTCTATCTTCCTTCGAATTTCAGAATTGTACCTCCACAATAATTAGGAACACTTTATAGTGACTATTATTATTATCAGCTATTTTTCCCGGCTGGGATGCGTTTACATTGGGTCAGGTTCGCACCAGATAGCGGTCATGAATGCTAACTGGGACATCCCTGCATTGATGAGAGACAAAAGCTCGTAACCGGTCTACAGGTAGTCAAGCGTTCCTGGTCCACTAATGCGCAGCTCGGTGTTTAGAATGGAAACACTTGCGATTTTATTCGTCTATACCAATTATTGCATAGATTGTTTTTCTCTCGTTATCTACCAATTTCGTGTATTTATGAACATTTATGGAAATGACTGAGTTTCGCGTATGATGTATTTTGGTTGTCAATGGAAATCGAGAAAATCTCGAAAAATCATTGGAAGCATCATTTTTAACGTTTAAATTGCTGTCTGGCGTAGCCTCCGTATTTTGGGGACTTTTGAGACGATATTAAGGACACCAATATACAGATTGTTTGTCCAATCGTTTCACACAGGGCAATGTGAATGGTAACAGCAAGAGACTGATTCGGCTATCGTACGTGTCGGCCAGTCTTCGCTGAAATATCGAAACAAAAATGAAAACTGGATTTCATTATATGAGCCCATTTATCTAACGATGAGCGTTGCTCTCCATAACTGCTATGTTGCCAAATGCCATCCTTTGTTAATACTCCTATAAGTATGTAATTATTTGCTGAACAATTTATATAATACCTGAAACCCGAGCTGCAACCACACTATTATACATTAGGATAAGATTATTCTGTATCAAAGCAAGTTGATTACTAATACCAGTGGACTATTGAAAAAATATGTTGATACTTCAGTGTTATTAGTGGAAATAATATTACATAGTACAGTGTGACCAAGATAGGGTTGAACGGTATGGGGATCTCGAAAACGAGGGGGCTTTTATTATTTTATTTCAAGAACTTTTTTCAGATAATGCAAGAGAAACACAACATATATCAGTATTACATGTAAGTTCAGTGATGCAGTATCTGATGAAGGTTTATCCAAACAGCACCTAAGTGCTGGTCTCGGAAATAGAAAAAGAATTTTATTAATAATAATAATGATATAATAATAATAATATAATAATATAATTTATTTACCAATTTCCAGGAATGTTACATCTTGGTATAATTCATTGATTGAATATCAGTAAGTATAATATATCAATAGGACTCAACTCTTCCTAATGATGAATTGAATAACTACCTACATAGTTTCTTAAATATAAACTAATTTATCAAATAAATATAAATATTACATTATTATCTATTCTGAAATAAAGTTTAATCACCTGAAGAAAAATAATTTTGTGGACTTTTTGAAGTGAAACATTGATTTATTTTTGAACTCTTGTGGGAGAGAATTCTATATTTTAACTGCATTATTGGAAAAGCATCCTTCATATAAAACTATTTTATGCCTAGGCATCACGAGAAGACCTGTATTTCTAGTGAAACGATTATGAACTTCCGAATTCTATGTTAATCGATGATGACTGTATAGTTGTTTATTATACAAAGGAAAAAAGTAGTAGATTTTAGCACGTGTATAACACACTATTTTTTTCTGTGACGGGAAAAAAGTTTGGCATTTCATCTCTGTTGGCAGGTGGGAAGAATTAAGGGACATTGTTATCGAAGCATTCAAATAGTATAATAATAATATAAAAAATAATGGATATAATTTTGAACATTTGTTATGAATGTTAATTTTTTCAATTACTGTTCGTATTGTCAAAGTTTAGTTATCAAAGTAATTCGTGTAGGAATCCAAACAATTTGAAGCACTGCATTCAATGATTTAGTGAAATATTTTTATTGACCTTTCAGTATTGGATGTCTACATCATTGTATTTGCTCTTAGGAATTTCGAAAAAAACATTATTGATGGCTAAAAGTAGGTCGAAACACAGTCCAACCACCTTGTATAATACATGGTTGAAATCAGAATGAAAAAAGCTTCCATAATCTGTGAACACATAACCAGGTCCATTCATAAACATTTTCTATTGAAAAGAATTGTCAGGTTTTCTGTATCTTCAGTAATGACGTTGAAACTAATGAAATAGATTTTCCGAAACTGAACTCATTTCAATATATCAGAAAAACTAAAAACAATTTTGGAAATTTTCCAAGACGGTTGGTATGACCCTCTGAATGCGCATCTTTTTTTCCCATTAAGCGAATTCATCTCTCGTTTCCGAGATCCCCATGCTGTGCATTCTTATATCTTGGTCACACTGTAATACTTGAGTAATAATATATATACTTATATATAATTATATCCTTCGGCGCTTACCATATAATAGCTCACTTCTCGCCCTATGTTTATATTATACTATTAATACATATACTAACAAAGTAATTATGTATTGAGTTTTTAATTAAAATATTATTTCATTGTTAATATATTAATGTCTTATTGTCTATCAAATGTTATTATGTATTTCTCGAATATATTTTGTTTTATGATATGTATCATTTTGGAATTTGACTTCTCCATATACCTCCGGTTAGCGTTTATAATCGAGGCTCCAACGATATCAAATAAGACCCAAAAAATAACAAAATGAATAAGTATTGACGTATTTGCAATGTTTTTTTCTAATTTTGATGTAAAATTTCGCTTGAACAGAAATATTGATTAATTCTACATATGATTCTACCGATGTACAAAATGTAGTAGGCAAGTTGACTTCGCCCGTCACTTCGAAATATCCTTCAAACAATAATATGGTCACCAATAGAGCAATGTCCGCTGACGTCACAACATGGAGCACTCGTCGTTTTCATCAGCTGATCGGGGGACAAACAAAGCTGTGTGAATTTTGATTTTATTATTTCTGACCCATTGGTGATTTTGTTGTACTTGTAGATATTATACAGGAAGAATGTGTACATTTCCTTCCAAAATGAGTATCTATTGAGGTATATTACGAGGTATATTAGGTATATTAGAGCTGAACTCAAGTAAATCCAGTAATTTAAAATTGACAAATAAACCAATTTGAACTCTTCTTTGGACTCATTCACTTCTCTCACAGGATTCATGATGAATGAATTAACAAACATGTCAATAAATAAATGCTCCAGGTATTGTATTTTAGTGGTAAATGTGCAAGAAAATTACATGTACCCTTATGGAACATGTGCATGCTTGTCCCCCCATCAGGTGTTCAATGGCCGACAATTTTACGTCACTGACAATGCCTTATCTCGAGGAAGCAACACAAAATGCATATCCATATTTTCATTTCGTAACTGGTGTTGAAATGAACATTACATCGCCAGTTATGTAGGTAATATATTTTACCTACGGCCACTATAGAAAATAGGCAAGAACACACGAGATACAGTCTCAGTAAGTAACTCTTTACGCACAATAAGCACATCGCACAGTTTTCGATTATTCCGCCAGTCACGATCGCGTAATCGCCGCCATTAGCGGATGACATAACTATCACGAATTCTTCTTCTTCTCTGCACAGGTGGGCGGGTGCGTAGACCCCTGCACTCAGGCCTCTTCAGTCGGGCCCAATGTGCGCCCACTTGTCCTGTGAATCAGCTGGGCATGCCGATTTCTTAGACGAAATTCAGCAGCTTCCTCAGCTGAGTCGCTTTCACATCTTTTGGGTGCAGTACAATGCTCCAAAAGGCAGCTTTCCTCTGATGCACCAGCGCGGGGCATTCAGTGAGTATGTGTGATGATGTTTCATCATCCTCCAAGCACCATCTGCAGATGGGATCATCTTTGATCCCCATGAGTTCTAGGTGCCTGTTGAGGTGGTTGTGCCCAGTTAAGAGCCCAACTACCATCTTGAGATCCCTTCTATCAGGTGACAGGATCTCTCTCGTGAGCCTTTTTGAAGGTTCCTTTATATGGAGCTTTGATTGTCTCATTACTGGTGTGTCCCGCCATGTTTCAAGGAACTGCCTCTGTAGCATTTCCTTCATGAAGGACATAGCCGTACAATTGTGTATTCCCAATATCGGTTTTGGTCCAATGGGTGTCGTTCCTGAACTGATCTTGGCCTGTCTGCCTGTTCCCCGGGATATCATAGTGTCCTGGAACCCACATGAGGCTGACTTTCCTAGATTTCGCCATATTTTCTAAGGCACTTCTACACCCGGACACCAATTTAGTTGTGATCCTATTGGATCTCAATGCCATAATAGCAGCATTGCTGTCCGAGCATATGGTGACTGGTCCACGTCCACTTCTGCCGAAATTTTCTTGGACATCAGAATTGCAAACACTTGGCCTGTAACACTGAAGCGTATTTGCCAAGAGGTACTGAGATTCCTTTCCCTGTTCCTCCTTCATATACTCCTGCACCAGACCCGCCACCAAACCTGTCACGAATTATGATTCAAACTGTTTATCCAAACTTTTTTATGTACTATATGGCAGTAGGTAAAGTATAGTACGTAATGCGTGTTGTAAAGCAATTACGCACTAACTTTTCCATTCGTGCGTAATATTCTTCCTACAACACATATTACGTAATATACCTACTATTATTTTACGCAATTGGTTATGTTTGTAGACATTTAAACAGATATCCGGTTTTATTTTATATATTACCTCCGATGGAAATGAATACTATTCAATTGCTTCATATTATATTGAATTTATCTTCATCACTTATTCTATTCTAGTTCTCCAATCGAACCACTGAAATTCTATACAAGATATTATATAATATAAAAAAATTAAGTACAATAAAAACGCACTAATGTATTGAATAAAAATTAATTTATACATTTCATCTATCTGACTTTATCTGGTGTATTCAATACTTTTGCTACTATCATGCCCAATGCTGTAATCGCTGCTAAGCTTAGCCCTGCTTTCCACCATATTGTTGAATCTGCAGCAATCATACCAAACTCTCTGAAGTTTCTGCAGAAAAAACAATGTATATTGTAAACATACATAATTATATGCAAAAGTCCATGCAGCTCTATTCAGAATGTGTTGATGATTTGTTAGTTTCCATTCTCGTTTCCTTTTTTTAATGATCAAATTAGTGATATATTCAGGAAGCATCAGGATAAGTTCCTTCATACAGGGTATGTGCATTCACTCAAAACAGTTGGGGCCAAAAATATGGCAACATAGGTTATTTTTGTTTTCCTACTGTTTATCGTTTCTTTTATATGTATACAGGTTGTTTCTTAAGTACGTGTAGAAAATTCAGGAGCATGTTGCTGACGTCAAAATAAAAAGAAAAGTTTGTATAACACATTTGAATGTTTGAAAATGTTTTTTTTACTATGGAAGTACTCAAATTAAATATAAATAATCAAGATACTTAAAAAATAAGAATAAAATAAGGAAAAAGAGTTGATTAAAATAGATTATCGATTTTTTTTTGCATTTTCTATTAACCAGCCCTTAAGCTTTTCTTGGAAAATTATAATATTTAGACTTTATATTTTTGATGGGATTTTATTATAAATTTTAGATCCAATAGAACTAGAATGTTGTTCCAAAATTTTAAGTTTATGATTTTCAAGTCGCACATTGTTTATTTTGTTTCTTGTATCATAACTATGATTGATTTCATTCGTTATTGCTGGATACTTTTAAACGAACATCAATGACGATCTATAGAAAAATTGTCTTAACTGAAAAAATACTTATGTCTTTGATTCTCTTTATATCATCCTGAATCAATTCAAGAAATTATATTCAACAGTCTCTAGAAGGAACAACATTATATGTATTATGTATATGATTTAAAAATGATTATCTGATCATCTAATTTTTTTTTTTCAGTTGCCATTTCATAATTTTCCCTGCTATAAACATACATGTTTCTTGGGAATAATAAAGATTATTATATATAATATGTTACTTTTCAATACAATCAAGTTTCAAGATATTCAAGAAGAACTAAAATAAAAGATTTGTCTAGATTTCTCGACTGATTCTGAATCACGATTGAATTTGCTGAAAATTTCGTGTTTTAACCGACTCTCTATCTCTCACAGTTACCGAGATCGCAAAGGATCGAATTTGGGAGACACGATATACACGCTTTACAGTGAAGAGGGAAAGATTCCAAAGAGAAAACAGAGAAATGAACATACCACATCCTTGATTGATCTACAAACAATACGTTTCATTAGAGAAATTCCTTTAATAATGGTGATTCATCAGGTTAGTAGTGGAAAATACTCGTATATTTCATCAACTGCAAAACGTATAACAAGCCAATAACACATTCTGAATAATAAAGAAACACACAAGCATCAAAAAGTTTTGTTTTTTATTCCCGTTTTTCATTTCATGAATCTAGCCATGAGTATAGAAACTTGAAATTAATTAGTAATGATGCGCTCAATGGTATCATATATTGTTAGATTTCGAATACTAAATAGGATTAAAAGTCTAAAATACGGCATAACAATCTTAGAATGTGTAATAGTAGCAACCTGTAGAAATGATCTAACCACTCGCTTGGCTGAGGGCGAACAAGTAATGCATGAACCATGCGTCGCAACGGACTGGAAAATAAAAATAATACATTTGTAGCCAGAGGATTTTTCTTTTAGCAAAAAAAATACATACTCATTTCTGAATCATATCAACAAAAGAAACCATAGAGCTATAATAAACTGCAGAATATGTTGGAACCTCTTTAGATGCGGTGAAGTGTGACTGCCAAGAGTACTCATATACAGGGTGTCGCGAAATTCGACCGACAACGTTTGACAGGTGATAGCCCTCGTGATTTCATAATCACTGAGATAGGGACATACGGTCTTCAAGTGTTCAGTTCTCGAGATACAGGGCGTTGAAGTTAAGAAATTGAAATAGTTTTTTTTGCAATATCTAAAAAAAATGAATATAATTTATTCAAATTCTCTGCCTCTGCCTCTACTCTATAAAACGAATCCATCATGTCAACGAGAATGTTTTTTTGAAACAAATAAGTTTGATGTCATGTGGTTCAAACTCGATAGCCAGAAACAGACCAAATACCTTTGTTGTCTCTACTTATCACCAAATAATCCATCCTATGAAGAGCTCTTCGAATTCTTGTCTCTGAAGCTTGACCAAATTCAACAATACCATCCAGCAGCAGAAATCATCATCATGGGCGATTTCAATGTACACAAAACTGCTTGGCTCGTACACTCTAACAGAACGGATGAAGCTGGGCGACAAGCCGAAGCTTTCGCCATCATTCACGGCTTAGAGCAGCTTATCAAAGAACCCACACGAATTCCCGATGCCAATAACCATTCAGCTAACATACTTGACTTATTCCTCACTAATAATGCAGCACCCTACACCACAGATGTACGAGCTCTACTTGGCAATTCTGACCACACACTCATCTCCACAACCTGCCCATTTTTCATTCCATCATCTGCTCCGGCACCCCCACGTTTTATATGGCATTACAATTCAGGAAATTGGGACGGTCTCCGCATGTTTTTCTCCGAGTTTCCTTGGCATAGAGTATGCCGCCAGACAATCCACCCGTTGAGAGTCGAATGCCCAAAATCGTCAACGCACTATCAGACGAATTTTGCTTGGTCTCAAAACGAATAAGGCTAACGGTCCTGATGGAATTCCACCCATTATCCTCGAAAAATGTGCACCAGAATTAACACCGGTTTTCTGCAAATTGTTTACCGTCTCGTACAGGTCGGGTATTTTTTCATCATGCTGGAGGACAGCTAGAGTCCAACCAATCCCCAAAATTTTGTGCACCCAGTCATTGTCAATTTTGATTACCAATTTGATTCAAATATATATTTGGAGCGATGCATAGCAACAAAAGTACACCTGCTGCCAGTTAAGTGTCATAGAAAAGCCTCCTTATATGCCGTTTGAAGAACAAATGATATAACTAGACAGTTTTTATGTTAACTTTACAATCAAGCAAGATAGTTTACTAATTGTCGCCATATAAGATTTCCAATGTGTTTTGAAAGTACCTAGTTACTGTAGCCAGTTGACCAGCACGAAATATAACAGTCTTATGATATACGCCATAGATTATTGAGTATTCAACTGGACCACTGCTCCTCTTCTTGCAGACTATTTGTCAGCTACGAAGTGGGTACGAATCAATAATCAATGTAGAGTGGTCTATTTGAATACTTGGTTATCTATCGCGTATATCTGTTATATTTTGGCTGGCCAACTGACTAGTATAACCAATTTACAGTTGATACAAGATGTTCATTATTCATTTATTACAACTCAGGTATCAAATTTTGTTGATATCAGCTAGAAAAGCGCATGTACTTTTTTCAAATCAATTTCGATGAAAGTTCAATAGAAATTGTCGATGATGGTGAAGTTGTATTCGAAATTTGCTTATATTAGACTCGACAATCGACATACGTAAATTATCAAGCATAGCTTTAAGCAAACATAATGATTAAATCAAGAAATTGATGTCAACCAGTCATACCAAACAAATGAAACTTATGCATTATATAAGTATACCGAGTATTTTTTCTCCGATGTATATCTGGAAGGGACTGGTAGGTAAGATGATTTTGAACATATTCAACCATATTATACATTATACAGTGTGAAACATTCCGATATATCATCAATTATCCGAATTTTACCGAATTTGATGACTGAAAGTTGTAATAAAAGTTTTGCCAAACCTTTGATCTTATTGTATGTATCTATCACCTAATGGAATCAAAAAATTGATTAAACAATTTGACGCTCGGAAGTATTCATAAAACGAAATAACTTTGATATCCAACTTCAGCCCTATAAGCTGAAATAAAACAACACTTTGTACTATAGTATGAATATGGAAGTATTAGCAAGGACAAGTCATAAAATGACATTAAATATATTGGGCAAACCAGCAGAAATCAAATGCAGCAGCTGCAGACACATGCGTTTCTAGTTTTACAACATACCAGTGGAGCTTAGCCAAGTTATATAGTCATATAAACTTGGAAAGAAATAACAAATCAGATACAACAACAGAGAGCTAACAACAAATTGTGTTATTATTTGGAAGACACTCCATTCGTGACCAACAATCAAAATCATCACGGATGTGACAAAGCCATCTGCGTGTTATCTTACCCAGGGAAAATGCATAATGTAGAAGGCTGCAGTCCACTTATTTCTCTTTCTCAAGATTCAAAAACCTTGTAAATTGCCAACGCTGTACTGATGTGCAATAACAATGAAACACATGCATCAGCAGATGCTTCATTTGACTTAAGAGGGTTCGTCAACTTTTATTATGTAATTATAAAAGGGTGTAACTAAATAAGTGTAAAAAATTTAAGGGGGTGATTCCTCATCGAAAAAAAGATAAAATCTTCCATATAAAGAAACTTCGTTGGAGCATCCCATGTCAAGATACAGCCCCTTGAAGGGGGTACATAAAAATTTTTTTCACAAGCACTAAAAAAGTTACAGAATTCAAATTGACCTGACATTTTCTGCTACCAAAAAGACACTTAGCCAGTAATTTATTTGGTTTACCCCATGGTTTAATCCCTTTAATTATTTAACGCAGGTAGTAACTACAAAATGACAATAAATCCAGTTCGCATTTATGTCGATGTATCTCTGTAGTTGATCTCGACATATTTTTTTGCTGCCAACTGGTTTATTTTGGGCAAAAAATTCAAGGGACATTTTTTATTTAGAATGAAACTGGCTATCGGAAATAAATTTTTAAATGGTAAACAAATATTAAGACAAAAAGTTACATTGGAAATAAAATTTAGGGGTTGAGTTTTCCACCCCTCACAACTATGGGGTGAACCAAATAAATTAGTGGCTAAGTGTCTTTTTGGTAGTAGAAAATGTCAGATGAATTTCAATACTGTAACTTTTTTAGTGCTTGTGAAAAAAATTGATGAACACATTTTATGTACCCCCTTCAAGGGGCTGTATCTTAACATGGGATGCCCCGATGAAGTTGCTTTATATGAAAGATCACATCTTTTTTTCGATGAGGAATCAGCCCCTCAAATGTTTTACACTTATTCAGTTACACCCTGTATATGGTCATGTTCAAAAACGCCCTACCTCTGAAGCCTCTTTCAGATATACGTCGGTGAACCAGAACCCTGTACTTATATTATCTTTTCAACTGAATAATAACTTTTGACGGGAATGAACCACAATCACAGTTTTCAATATATTTAACTTTTGTGTGAATTGACTGGAAGACTGACAAATAAAGCCGAAATAAACTTGTATATTCTAATGTTCTATGATGATCAGTATTGCAAGTTCTGGAGATAAACCAAGTCACAATATCGATTTTGATTCAGTTATTATTTTTGAATATTTTTGATTTGATTGATACTGATAACAAAATGACGTGCCAATGATTGAAATACCTAACTAAGTTGAGCTCCGCCATTCTTTTGACTAGTGATTTCAGTTAAGGAAATGGATTTTGACTTCATGTATATCCAGGACTTTGATACAAAAAGGGTTATATTTCCCTGAGAGCAGATAATCCACTATTATTTGTGTCCAAGATAATAAAGGACAGGCAGTAAAGGAAAAAATGACGATATGCAGTTTTGGTAAAATAGGGAAATGTGCCATATGATTCAAAAAATAAAACGATTATCTCTGGAATCGTGAAGTCATTTTGTTTAAACCCCAGTCTCACCAACAGCATTAATCCTAACATATTCTAATATTAACGTTTCAAATCGCTATCAAATCGAATTATCGCGATTCAGTGCTAATAGGCCATTTTTGACAAGCGACATTAAAAAGAAATCAGATGTCAGATGCATGCTGATGCAGATAACACTGGTACGCCAAATATTGATCACTCAAGTGATGTTTTCATGCCAAATTTCGTTATATCTGCTCCTTCTTCCTAGAAGTCGTGGTGGAAAAAGTATTTTTGTAAACTTTGACAATCTGTTACTTTCTTAACGAGAAAGTGAGGGGCATATTATCATCTGTCAAAATATTCCATGTCAAATCAGAACCACCCTATATAAAAAACCAAACCACACACTTCCTTATAGGAAGATTATCTGCTCCTAGTTGAATATCAAGTTTAAATATTTACAAAACTATAAAATTACTTCTGCAATAAAACAAACTCAAATTAAGGTAAATATAGTAGCATTCAGATTGAAATGTCAATAATACTAATGAAATGTAGTGGTTGAACAGGGGCAAGTGAAGTTATCATGTAGCAAACTACTAAGTATTTTCGTATTTGAATCATTTCCAGCATAATAATGCCAAATGGTTCTTATTATTTTCTGTGCTGCAATGAACTATGAAATTGTCATTATACACAGTGGTCCACGAGGTCGTCCATAATGGGGAAGTTTCCTATATTGAGGTTATTACCTCACTGCGAAATTTGTAAAAATTCAATACATACGTATTTTTCCTTTTTCTCGTAAGATCAAATTTCACTTCAGAAAAAAATGAATGAAAGAGGAACTTGGCTCCTTCACCATTCCTATGACGTACTTTCTGAAAAGCCACATTCACACAGAGGTGAAATACGATTCCCTGTGCCAGTACGACGTTGTGGATATCATCAAAATGTCTAGATTTCCGGAAATTGTTCTTTGAATACATTTTAACCATATCATACCATCAATGGTATATAATAGGTTTATCGATCCTACCTTCTCAAGTATCATGAATAATTCTCATAAATCTCTCATTTGCTGAATGAAGTTTTGATTACTGATGAAGATGAATTATGATATTTTGCCATAGTATCAATAATTACAAAATGTAAATCATAACTTATCAGTAATTTTTTTGCAAAAGAATTCGTTCCTTAATACCACCACACAAAATACTGACAGGCACACCAAGAGGAAGGAGCCATGAGTCTCGGTTTCATTCTGTTCTAACCGATGGCAGTAAATTAGGAAATATAGTATCATTCAATGTTATTTATTGCTTTAATGATATTTTCGTTTAAGATCGAGAAATTTCAATTCATAAATAACAAAACCATAACCTGTCAGAATTAAGCCAACTACCCTCTACATTCCTACTCCGACACGCCGACATCAGATTTTGTGCCTTTGTGGTCATGTATGTTTTTGTTTACCAGTTTTACTTGTGTCCTTTGTTGATCTTTAGTTATTATTCGTTAGCCTATGTCTACAGTCTACAGTTAATAGTTATTTTGTTAGGTCGTTTATTTTTCATGATATAATCAACAAAGACCCAACGAAGTTGTCTTCTTCTATTTTTTTCATTCGTTTTTTATTCGTTAGTTATTCGCTAGCTACATTCTTTATCATCAGCTATTCTCAGACTAAATTCAGAATGTACGTCATAGTTTGCCGCCCCGAAAATTGAAAATTGCTTCATTTTGAAAATAAAAACGACTAGGACCTTATCTATCGCCATTCTGTACAGCGTGGACATGAAACTGGAAAGCTCCGAACTTATTTTATGAAAATTCATCTGGAAGAAACTTTCCCATTGTCTCCAGATATATCTCACTTAATATTCATTATCGATAATGAGAAATGAAGCTGTTTTTGAATGTACTATCAGGGCCAGAAATATCGGGAGGCAGTTTTGGACCATTGTGTATTAAAATATTGAAAATTGTACAATTTCATTTTTTTGTGCAAAAGGATCAATATTAGAGATTGTGAAAAATCGTATTCTCAATTGTTTCATTGTCGTATTTCTCTTAATTTATGCTTGCAATTACATAATATTATAACTACTTCAATCTTATCATTTCAATAATTTAGAAGATAACTGGCACTGTGATGTATAAACAAGAATTCACAAACCTGTGTTTATAGAACAATATCCAGGCAGCTTGAAAACGACTGAGAAGAACATTATTAAATAGTAACCTTTCAAATAATAAAGTGAAATATCGGTTGATTTTTCTAATGCCCCTAATATTTTTCAAAATGTCATGTTCGTATTGAATAAACCCGATTTTTGTATAAGAAGTATTATATCCCATTAAATTTCGCTGAGTGGTACCAACTGTATTATTCCATATATGTATGTAGCTATAATTATATATTTATACCTTTGAATTCAGAATAATCCTTAACAGAATACAGGAATAACATTCAGGGTTCATGAGTGTTCTATTTGAAAATCGAAAAATGGTACCACTTCAGGTTCACAGGTGCCCCCTCTCCAAATACAATCAATCAGAAATCCCCATAAATTGTTCCTGATATAGTTATTAAATATGAAATTCATTCCCAGATGCCAAGCAGATAAATTCGCAATGCAGCAAAATGTGAATTAAAACTGACAACCTTATGTATGACAAAAGATCCGAGAAATGGGTCAAGATAAACAAGTTCTCAGTCGAAAACATATACATAGGTATGTATCTAGCTAGAATTTTGAAGAGAGAAAGATACTTGTCCCAATGAATAAAAATAAAATAGATGCATTGTTTGGTTCAAATTTGCTGATAAAATTAAACTGCATTTATTAACAGCAGTTATTTTCATTTTTCATCTTACCTTCGAAAGATAAGTAAGAAATAGATTTCCCAGAATCAGTATTATATGAGTTTTTTTGATCTACGTATATGAAAGACATTATAATATTAGGTTTTGAATGTACTAGGAATCGACAAGGTCATCTTCAATTACCCTTAGAAAGATTGTAGAAACTCTTAGTTTTCACTTCTTTTATCAATTTTTTATTAAATAGAATAGTCAATGATTATCTTTCAACTACATACATTGCATATTATTGTTTGAAACTAGAACTAAATTCATCAAGTTTCCTGGGCTGGGAAAATTATAATATAATATGAGATTAGTGCAAGAAAAATATTAAAAATACTCACGGAAATGCCGCCATTGTAGCTAACTTGATGAAAACATCCCTTCGATGTGGGCACTTAATGCTAAATTTCTGTAAAGGTAAGATTTTGTACTTTTGGCAAAAATTATCTGGCTGCAACAGGTAATCTTGTTTCACCTCTTCCATATCATCTTTGCAGCCAACTATCAGTACTGGGATTTTACTTTCCGCGAAATATTTCTGCAAAAATAGTGGAAATCAACCATTTGCTTGAAATACACACTGTATGGGTTATTGTATTATATTATATTACAGACATAGGAAATAAACAAGATTAAGGACTGCGTGGGGTATAGGGGTGAGGTGAGGGGAGAAGGCACACTTCTACCAACATCTTGGAAAATAAACCAAGGTTATGTTTTTGTCTTTGTGCTTATTTTTTGTGTTGATTTATCAGAAGTTGTACACCAATTTTTGATGATATAAGTGCAAATTAGATAATATCTGTTCCCACAAATTTTCTGGGGTTGTACCATAGTGGAAGGAGAAGATGGTGTGCTCAACAGAAAGCTTAAACTCGTCTTGTTCTGTGCATGACGTCAGCTGGGATATAACTGTCATTGTTATTATTTGTTTTCGTGATTGATGTCTCGAACTTCAGATATTATTTAAGTACTAAAATTGAATGAAATTATTTCGAAATCCCCACTTTTTTCGTTTCTGGTTATGGAAATTCCAACTAACATACAAAACGCACAGATATTGAATTTTTCTGCTTTTCCAAGAATGTAGACCTAATGAAACGATGGGAGCTCACTGCCGACAGAATATAAACTCAAATAATGGTACCTACCTTATATTCCTTATATCCTCATTCCAATGTATTCACCTATCATATCATCATCACATTCATATTACAGCACGTATTTCTTCAAAACATTTCCATGCAAAATGGTCCCAAACAACTGCGAAAGTACGGTTCTTGACTATACACACCTTCAAAAAATCACAAATATTTGAAACAAGATGCCATTCCTACAGAACATCTTCCGTCGAATATCAAGTCAGAAATAATTGTAAATGAATTCAAAACTCTTAATTTCTCACAAAATATAAATTGCAGCAAAGATTTGAATAACAGAACGGCAAAAATTGATACTCCTGTTCTGTTGTCGATGTCGGAGCAGAAGCAACGTCAACGTCGTTAACTGCTGAATTTTAATCTGTCAGAATCGACACAGTAGTGGATCATTCAAATTGGATTGGCAATGCATGATAATGCGTATGTTTTTGCTATTTGCGATTGCGAATTACCTCAAGATCACAATTTCCAGAATCAATTTAATAGTAGCAATGGATACGTACCTGTTTATATAAATTGAATTATTTCTAAACAGATCGAGAAACTCATAGAAATTTCAATAAACATGATTGAATTCATTGCGCACGCCCATGGCAACGGTATCTGTCTGTGACTAGCAGCTGATATTGGTATCCCAGGTGACGTCACATAATATGCGCGTAGGCACACCATCTTCTCCTTTCACTATGGGTTGTACACATTAGTCGAATTTACGCCACATACCTATTTTATAATCATCATTCCTAGTATAAATAGAATGTGATGCAATCATTCTTTATTTAAAATCATTACAAATACTTCCATTTCAATAATCAAAATCGACTCCTTCGGAAAAAGCCAGCTCATGATGCAGTCATACACCTTCTCGCAACAATAGTGATATTTCTGTTTATTCCTCTACAACCAATGAGAGCATAACCACATATACCCATTATATTTTAACCCAATCTTTTTTGTGACCCTGGCAACAGTGTACTGCTCAAGAGTTAACATAATTGAGAATCGAAAAAGAATCTAACCTAACTTTATATAACGCCATCTTCGTCTATTACCTTCATCTTCAAATTCTGTCATCTGTCAAATATAACAAATACTGCGAATATTCGAAGATAATCCTCATATTATCTGATTATTCAGTTGTGTGTTGAAATCTCTCTGTTATCTGCAGTAAGTATTCAGTCCAGAAAATGAATTTCATATTCTGGTAATGGTAATGGATAATGGATACCTAAGTCGAATCTTATCTTATATGGTTCCATTGGATTGTTCACGGGTGATTTCGTCACGCGTTCTTCCGCGAATTGCAATAATTATTTCAAAAATGTACAGAGCTCTGAGGGACAAGCGTTTGTGAAAGTGAACCTGTTAGAGTTAGTACTTCGAAATAATGAAATAAATTGTTTCACTGAAACAGGCCCTGTATCTGGAATCTGGATAGTTTTCAAGAATGAAAAACCTAGATAATGATAGAATTTCGGAAGAAAACGATAAAATATAATGATTTATGTATGATTCCAGATTATTTTTCCAATTCATATGGTGGTTGGAGTTGCAGCACATATTTTCATCAGACAGTCCTAACATGAAAATGACCATTGAAACTCGCTATACTATACACCCCTATGATGGATCTATTAAGCTGTTTGGGAGTCATGAGTTCAGTCATTTGCATAAATGATACATATAATAGGTCTGTTCGTTTGTGTTGCTAAACTTGCTTGAGTTGATTTGTTTTCTGTAGTCATCTCTGTTCATCGCAGAAAAAGTGATTGAAAAAGTTTGGCAAGATATTGAGTAAACACATACGAACAGGTTTGAAAATAATCCTAGGCTGGCTAGCCAGTTTCCCCTCATGTGACGTCATCACAAAGGAATACCAAGAATTCAAGATGGTGGTTTAGCCATACCCCTGTCAGTATAATATATGCAGGATTTCTTTTCAATAAATGATCGTAACATCGTAGTAGATGTTGAAATATTTGAAAACTACTTGAACAGCCACTATGGATGCTACGATCATTTATAAAAACCCTGTATATAATAATAAATAGTCATTAGCTCGTCCACCACATCCACCATAAACTCAATAATCAACCAACATTATAGGGGTATCCCGGAGCCCTCGTATCTGACTTCGTATATTTACGAAAATGGCCTACGTATTCTTACGAAACCTCAAACACGGGAACTACCCATGGATAGCAATGTAAACTGTCAGCTTATTCCGAAGCTTCCAGTGCGAAATTGAAAAATTCTAATTCATCATCTGTCTTGGAAACAGAGCTAGAACTGTATGACTGAAAATACAATTTCAATAATTCAAGTCCTTCTCCAAGATTGACACATAGTTTTTGTTCTTATTCTTGCCATTTTTGAAATACCTTTATCCAAATCAAAATTCTCAATACCAGAGATTAGTTGCTATAATCAGAGGTATTTATATTGTGCTTTATGCTCAGGCCACGCAGCTCAAACAATAAAAATTCGTTAATCATAATTTTGAATAATAACAATAACCCTAACCTCACCACTTGAAACACGGAACACGGGACAAAATTCTGTCAGAACAGTTTTGTCAGAACGGCAATTTTGTAATCTTACACAAGAAAATGGTAGTGTAAAGTTACGAAGGACCGCGTATCCTAATCGACCAATCAGATTAGTTTGCTGAATACGACGATACGAAAATACGAAGCATTATACGAGGACCGGGAATACCCCTTATATCATGATAAATAACTTACTATGTAAATTCTCGCTACGTATTCGAAAGACTTCTCATTATTAACGTCGTACACTAAACAAGCTACGTCGCATTGAACTTCATGTGGCAACAATGGATCAGAGACATTTCGCAGGTTGATGTCCCTTAACACCATTATTTTTTCTTGGCCATACACTTGTACTACGTTCACAGTACAATTTGGTGTGCCTGATTTATCATCACGTATAGTTTTTTGCTGAAACACAAATTGGCATTACAATTGTAGTTTTGTCACTTTTGAAGCATTGAGATTTTGTATCTAATGATTTCGTTTAGAATGATTCATGGACTCGAACAATGCATGTAGTATTTCTCACCGTGCCGCTCTAAAGGATTGAGATATAGTGTTAGTTTGAAATAACACAAACAAATGAGACTGGGCGTAGCAAAAGTTGTATCAAAAAGTCATAAGAATCAAAACCAATGGAAATGCCAAAATTTAGATGATTGAGAGATTTTTTGAACAGTTACAGCAACTAGATATTTATAACTTACGTCGTGATTTGACTTAATAAAACTTCGACAAAAAGTTGATTTTCCAGACCCTGAAGGACCAATAACATGGCACTGATACACATTTCGACTAGATTGTTTTCTTGCCATATCCAATTTCTTCTCTCTCGTAACTGAAATTGAGAATTTGTATAATGGAAAATATAATATAAACTCGATCGAAATCTCTCGTTAGCTATTCCCCAGATAAAAATGAGAAAAAAAATCATGAAAATAGGACCTACAGACCCTTAAGGATGGACTAATAAGAATAGTCTCCACATTTTCATTTAAACAGTGTTTTATTAAATCACCTTTACACGTAGCGACAGGCGAAGCGATGCGATCAATTGGATTGATATTTTGACGCGATGATGATGAAATTCTCCGTGTTCATGTCATTGTAGATATATAATATGAGTTCCACTTTTTGACACCCACAGTTCTCTAGGAATTAGTATTTGAGACATGAGTTTTCAAGTGAAGAAAATCATATGTCCTGCCATGACGGAAATACAAATTCGCGGAGTATGTAGGAGAGCATAAGTAATTTTTCCTCGAAGTTTACCACATAAACCAGGTCAACAATAAGTTCACCAGCATTTACCTCGACGTGTATTACAAACTATGACATAATAGTTAACCAACCACACAAACCAGCACTGAGGTAGTTCACGGAGCAGTTAAGGCTTTTGATTGGGCACTTGATTGGGCTCTTATTGTTGTTATAATCTGAGGTTATAATAATTATTGATAAGAAAAAATAATTATACTCCTTAAAGAGATAATAATGGATTCATATGAAGTATTTTTCAATGAGAGATCTCAGCATATTATTGATGAAAATAAATATTTGAACCATTGTAAATATGTACATACGTAGCGAATTGTTCAAATTTTCTTGAATTTGAAGTTGGTAAGTAGGTACTAGTTCCTATCTATGATATATTTTTATTACAGATTTCTTATTCAATTTATTAGTATTACTACTAAAACCATGACATCTGTCAAGCTGTACAAGTAAACCGTGTAGTCATACTAAAATAACCGTGACGTCATCATAAAGTTAAAGTTAGTTAAAGTCTGGTTAGGTTTGAGGAAAAATGATTATAGTCGCATCGCATCGCTTAGGTCGCGTCAATTCGCGTTTGCATAGAGTTCACCCACATAGGACACTGTGTTATAATACAGTTGTATTAAAAAAGCGCGTACAAGTATTTTAGAGTGAAATTAACGTCATCCTATTTGCATAAAACGGGCTATCAGGAATTATTGTTTACAATATGTTGTCATAGGTTCTCAAAAACACAAAGCATTGGCTCAGCCAGTTTTACACAATTAGATCTAGGATGACGCAAACCTCTCTTCTCAATACTTGTACGCATTATTTATTGAATACCACTGTAGAGTACCTTGCACCGCCGTCGTCTGACACTCGTTCTCGAACACGTTGTACCCCAAATAGGCCAGATACTCGAACGTTCTCGGCAAGTCGACCAGCGTCATCAGCGCCCACTGGCACATGTACCCCTGGTACGTGATCCAGCCGCGCTCGTCGCAAGGTACCATCGCGCCGGCGGCGTCCGGCCCCCACGCGGGGGTGGGGCAGGTGGCGAAGATCTCCTCGAATTCGGGGGGCGAGAGCGATCTATCGCGATCTTTGTCGTGGCGTTCGAAGAGGTGCGTGAGGAATTGGTGGCCCTTGTGGGAGAGTTCGGTGGTCGAGCCGACTGGTACTTTCAAACTGAAATTAATCAATCATAGAACTTTATTGTTCCCAACAAACAACATTTTTTATAGCAGGGAACATGGTGAATATACAGGGTGTCCCTATAACTGTCGTATTTGAATTGTTCTATGTATCTGACGGTTAGGCCAATATCGAAAGAGAACATACTATTGACTCACCCTGTTACAATCACTCATAATTCAGCGTTTAGGAACGAAACATTTCAACCTTATTCGTCTTAACGAATAATAATATAATAATAATATTAATAATAATAATAATGTCTATTTACAATCAGAATAATATACTTACATAAGGAATTGACGTTTAGCTTAATATAATAAGTAATTATATCACTGATGTTCACAAACATAATTCTCCATTGGAACCTTCTAGGTCATGCATGGGTATTGCATTTGTGTGCGATGTGCTGAAGGGCTTTCACGCTAGCTTAATAGTTGCGCAATACTTAGTCACAATGTCGTGCCAAAACTGCACATCGAAAAATACTAGTAACTTTCGAAATGGGCGAACCGCGATATCGATTTAAGTTGGCAAAACTGTACACCGATGCCAGATTTATTTGACATTTCTAGAACCGATTTGTTGTGATCAGCTGATCTCTGCGAATTATTCATTACTGACAATTTCTACTTTCAAGGAATTGTTTGTGATTTATTTGTGGATCATTGTATTTTCAACCCAATTGAAATGATATGGGAGATCACCAACACTTATTATAAAGATCATGTTGGCCAGCATATGGGAGTTCTGTGGTAAAATCTCTGGATATGTGGAAAGAGCCTCTGAGGCAAGTTACTCCAGAAATATGAGCCAATAGTGTTCGCCATACTGAACAAATAATTCAAAGTTGGTGGGAGAGAGAAAATATTTTGGATTTACAAGATATTCCACCAGTGATTATAAATGTAGGAGAGGATGATTCTGATGATAGTGAGAATGATTTTGATGACAGTGAAGAACATCAAATGAAATTTTTTAGTGTGCTATATATTGGGGTTAGAAAATTGTATTATTTAGTGTAAGATTATTTCTGTAGATTAGGGTTAGAAAATTGTATTATATAGTGTTGGTTTCATAAATTTTTGTGGGTTTTCCTCATGAATTATATTGAGAATATTGAAGTAAGAACAACTCTTGTTGTCTATTTCATAATTTCCAATATAAGTAGATGCACCACTATTTATTTTCCCACGAAATAAAATCAATCAATCGAATTTCTATCTCATTTCACCAATTTATAGTAATTGAAGAACATTCAAAACGATTAGATAACTTCAAAATTGAATTCGAAACTTTTATTATTTTCACTCAGTAAATGTGAATACTGATCAGTTTTATTAAGAGAAATGAATTCAAGCCAAAATTATGTATTGGTAGGAGAATACGTTATTTTTAATTTCAATACCTGTAATTGTTTGTTGATGTTGTTTTATAATAAGTCATTCTTCAAGTTATTATCCTTTTTAAGAATTTCATCAACATTAAATTTCATGTTCAGTATATTGTTCAGGTTCATGGTTTTTTGAATACAAATATTGAAGTTCATTTATCAACTTCAAGTGCTGATTTTGACACATAAATGTACGGGTTGCAAAAAACATTATAACGTCCGACGATCTAACACTAGACATATCCATATTCAGGCGGTTGGTCATTCAGTAATTTCCTTTCAACTGGCAACACTGTATGTGTTGACATCTTGACGTCACTATCAACTTAGCGTGAAAGCCCTTTATAATAGGTACCTACATATCAAGGTCTATTAACTTCTATAAGGTTACCTCATAGTATAGCATTATGGTGCGGGGGTGCGCGGAGGGGCGTGACGTCACTGTTTCCCCACCACGTGATTGTAGATTTCGTTTTGTGTCAATGTCAAATGGATTGAAGAAAATTTTGAATTTGAATTCGAAAGAATCGCGAATTTTAGACTTTAGTTGAAAACATGGTGACAAGAAGACTGAAGATATCTTTGAGAGAGGGTGAGAGGTTGTAAATATGGTGTAGTATTATTCAAGGCTGGTCACATCATAATATTATTATGTGTGGAGTCAAGAGTGGATATAGAACAAACTGAGAACAAACAAATGTTATAAAATGCCTGTGTTTACAATCATCTGCTCTTGGGCAGCCTCCACATGAGATTCAGATAATTCCAAAGGAAAATGATGAGCTGTGGCAATGTGAATGTCCCTGTGAGGCAGGCATGTCATGGTTTTGTAAACACATTTTATAGGGACTTATATTGACAGGTAGGAAGGTGCACTTTTGATCTATCACACACACAGGTAAAAAATACATGAAATTTCAGGAATGGTGACTTGGAATATGTGAAGCTGCATAATATGTATAACAAACAGAAGTGGTGAAAATTAAAAGAGAGTAGATCAAACAATGATCTATTATACAGCCAAACCATTTCAATAGTTCTGCTACCCGCTTATCAAAAGAAGGAAAGTGACCCCCTAAATCATTCTCCTTTTATATAATTCAAGTTAATTTTACAGGGTATATCAGTCTATTTTGTTTTTTGTTTGGAAGCCAATGAACTCAACTAGCTATTGCATGGTACTCAGGAACACTGGTGAGTTTATTAAATTTTACTTATACTTGCTACTTCATTTTTACATGTAGCAAGGAGTCTTGGGAAAAAAGGCAATCAACTTCTTCTTTCCAAAGGATTTTTCAAATGAATTTGTTCAGCATGGAGTTGAATATGAATCCAAAGCTTTCAAAATGTTCATTGAAAATGATATTGAATTTCAAATCATGCAAACATATTTGTGTCCCAATATTTTCCATGGTTAGAATTTTCTCCATATGAAATTATTTTTTAGGAAGGAAGACCATGGAAATAATTGAAATAAGTGTCCTTACTGAGGTCCTTACATAGAGGTTTGTTAAATAATGTGTATAACATTCAGCTTGAATTATTTTCTCAAAATTTTAGGTGAAGGTTCAGAATATTTTGTGGAACAATGCCATTTCTTGATAGGAGATGGTATAAAACATGTGAAGTTGGAAGAGAGACACACTTATTATGGATAAATTCAGTTGGGAATAATGGCCCTAAAATGTCCCTAATGAACTTGAAAGAAACTAATTTTCTTGTATAATTCTTTTTCAACCAAAACTTACATAGAGATTCCAGTTAATTTTATGAAACATTCTGTGTTAATCTTATGAGGAAGATATCTCAGATATTTCCATTATGTTGCACTTTTATTGCATTAATAAAATGAAATAAATGTGATGTGATGACTTCTTTATTGATTCATTTTCTTATTATTTCATTTTCAAACAATAATATGTTCCAAATTGATACTGAAATAAAACCATTGAGTTAGAATCATTCAATTTATCCAGAAGGAAATCTTGTTTAGTTAATTGTTTCTTGTTTCTCAGAAATGATGACCTAATCAATTTCAAGATATTTCTTCACATCCCTTGTCAGCATGCCCTTATCCACCATGATTCCATCATTAGGTTCAGACTTCCCAATAACATTTTCTTTATTAAAAAATGCTTTATCAGTAGCTCAACCTCCATATCCTTAAATGCCAACAGTAATCAGTCCTAGTGGAGTGATATTGCAATAAGAATTTGACTGAGTTTCTGTAATGTGTCTGTACAATAGGAGCACTGAGGAACATAACATATCTTTCTAGTTTTTGAATTGACTCGGCCGTTACTTGATGGAAATCCATGATAAATGTAAAAACTTCACAAACGATAAGATTTCCACAAAATTTATTAAACACACGACATGTTTCGCTAACACAGTAGCTTCGTCAGGTGATATACTGGTACAATGAACTAAACTAACGTTGGCTTGCTTAACTTTTATATATCTTACCTTCCCAAACTGAAGGATTAGTTACCTGTGGACAGGTACGATAAACCTTCATTTTTGGAAATTAGGCACAATATCTACATTAAATTACCGTATACAGGTAACTAATCCTTCAGTTTGGGAAGGTAAGATATATAAAAGTTAAGCAAGCCAACGTTAGTTTAGTTCATTGTACCAGTATATCACCTGACGAAGCTACTGTGTTAGCGAAACATGTCGTGTGTTTAATAAATTTTGTGGAAATCTTATCGTTTGTGAAGTTTTTACATATATCTTTCTAGATTTCTGTTTTCAGTGTTTTGTAACTTGCTGCATGTTTTGGGAAAACAGTAAACTATCTCGTGAATACAAAAACATATTGGAAAACTTCAAAATTTATCAAAATTCACTGGATTGCACAATGCTAAATTTGTTTGTTTTGTTTATCACCTCCGCCATTTTCATTTTGCCGTTCGACAAAAGACGATGGGGAAACAGTGACGTCAGGCCAGGTGAATATGAGGCAACCTTATAGAGTTAAATAGCCTTGCCTACATATAATATATAATTGTGAATCACGCGGCATGTGGTATTCCTTATTTTCAGGCTATGTACAGCTTGTCCATTCGATGGATATTAATTTTTACAATAATAAAATAATCTGAATCGCTGCATAGATGCCTAGAGGATGTGATTCAATGTTCTGCGTGGCAAATAGCCAGGAAAGTAACTGGTTTTCTCTCATTATCTACATGTCATGTAATTTTACCATATTTGGAATGAATAAATGAAATGAAATGTTTCATTCATTTTATGAACTAGGGTGGTAATGACTTTTGAGTTTCTCTCTCTTCGTGAACATTGCATTCCACTGAGTATTGGGGCCTTTTAAGTAGTTGAAAATACAACAGTCGGGCAACCAGCAACTCCCATTTCATCTGAAACGGGATTTTGTTTTGGAGTGTCTCTTTCCTTGCCAGAGAGCGTTCGGCGTTCGCGAGCATTTCGCAGACGTAATACGTCTCATGGGTATTAAATGCTGAGATGCCTTTACGTTGGGTCAGATTCGCACCAGATAGCGGTCAAGAATGCTATCTGGGGGACAACTTGCACTGATGATAGCCAAAAGCTTGAAACCGGTCTGCAGGTGATCCGTGCGTTCCTAAACAATTTAAGCACAATCCTGCATTTAGGAAATAAATATTTGTAACCTTATTCTCCTTTACAAATTGGTGCATAGATGTCGAGAGGATGTAAGAGGATGTAATTCAATGTTCTGCGTGGCATATAGCCAAGAAAGTAATTGTTTTTCTCTCGTTATCTACCATTTTTCGTTCATTTTATGAACTAGTGTGGTAATGACTTTGGGTTTCTCTCTATTAGTGACCATTACATTCCACTTTGAGTATTTGGGACACCCTGTATTTTTCACCATTTTTGAATTCCTGTCATGATTTTTATTCGAATTCATTCAATACTCTGTACCCAAAATGAACAGTTTGGAGTTATTAAAGTTTTTACAGAAAAATTGACAACTGCAGCCTATTGAACATACCCTGTTTTTATGTGAATTTAAGTTTTTAGTGATATGCAGTGATTGAATTATGAATATTGAAGGTTGAACGGATCACTCACCATAATCACAACCACTGAATAATTTACGGGGTGCGTAGAAGTGGGTTCAAAAAAATAATGTGAAACATTATTTTCGAATGGAAACCCCACTTTTTCTTCTTATAATTCAATTCTACTATAACAATGAGTCCTAGCTCTAATTAACTTCCCTATTCCCAAAAGCTATATAATTTGGGAGAAAACATAGCATGTATGTGACTCAACAAACACAACTTTATGAAAAAATAATTTTTTAATAGAAACCTTATCTCAAATTATCTTCTTATTATTCTTTTTGTTTATTGCTATTTTGAAGTTGAAAACCAACTTCACAAAAGTCGAAATTTGTGTCTGGTTAGGAATAGTGGGACCTACTTCTGATAGTGGATGGGATATTTGCGGTTGAAATTTACCAAAAATTACTTGGACACTTACCTAGGAAACAAGTATTCTTTGGACATATTCAAATTATCATTATAACCGAACTTTCTCAAAACTGTCCAAGTTGTTTCATTCCTGCCTCTCTGTATAAATAAACTGTGCAGATATAAAAAACCTTTTAAGGTAACACAGTTCTGACAGACTCCATCGTCCATATTTTTCCTCAATACAGCTTTAACATCGTCCAAAACTTGCGGTTGTAGCGGGGCGTTGAAACAACGGCTTTGAAAGTTATTTAGTTCAATATCATTGAGGAGGCCATCACAGTCTATGTCACAGATTTTGAAGATCCGTATCAAGGCTTTCTTGCATGCATCTGTTAGCTGAAAAGAGTTGAAACATTAGTGCTCACTTGTAATTTTAGTATTCAAATTCATAATCTTACCACCCCTGTGGAACCTTCATTTTTCAATGGATCTGGATAAACTGTTTTTAGTTAGGAATTTTAAATGTACAACAATGAACAATGTATGGGCTCAAATTTCAAAAAGTACTATTAGAGATTTAATTTCACAAAAACTAACAGAAGGTTACTCAACATACACGTGTACCGCCTCTCATCATTCTCAAAGATAGGTAGTTTTTTGAAAAAATAAATCACATTTTAATAAGTGATTGATCGGAATAGTGCAAATAGATTTTTTTTAGAACTAAGGGATTCTAAATATGTCGTTAGTTCTTGTAAAAAATTTCCTACGGACTCTTTGAAAGAACCCCACACATTTTCTATGGAAATGGTTTTTGGCTAATTTTTCAGAAAAATGTTATATTTTTTCGATATTTTTGTCCTCATATTAAACAGACCAATTGGCAGATCACTATGGAGTGTAATCGCCATGGAAAAGGTCAACATCTGACGTTGCGATGACATGAGAAGTACGGGAAACATGTCTAACTTTCAATCTGAGCCAGGAGTTAGGAATGTTTTTCCGTAGTTTTCATGTCATCGCAAAGTCAGATGATGACCTTGACTACCGCACAATATCACATATATCAAAAATATAAGAATTTTTATTTTGACTCAATCCGTGGAAGCTGTAATACAAACGGCTAGAATTGGCCAATTCTTCGACACACCATGGGTCCTCGTTATCAACATGACAATTCATTGCTTGTCCAATAATGTATGGTTTGCCCTACTCATTGGTCAGCTGGGTGGTATCGTCGCCAACCAGCAGAAGGGTGGAGGCAGGACAGGGAGACCAAAGGCTGGGCGTCGTAGTGGAGGGGTGCTGTCCTCAGGGTAGTTGCCTCTCCCTCCACCTATGGTGTTTAGTCATGGACGAACTCCCGGGCAGGCTTATAGATGAAGGTTTCGAGGCACAAGCATACGCGGATGATGGACTGATCCTCGTTAGCGGACGATTCTTGAGGGTCGTCTGTGACCGCATGCAAGTTACCTGCAGGATAATTGTAGTAAATCCGACAAAAACGGAGATGATCCTAACATCTGAGGCGATCCATCTTACATGAGATATGATCCTGTTCACCAAGCGGAGGAAAGGGGATGGGTTAAAAGCCACCCACCATGTTTGGCCAAGAGTTGGCATTAGTCCAACAGGTCAAATACCTAGGGGTGGTTCTGGACTCCAGACTTTCATGGAGACGGCATGCGGATAGGGTTTTGCAAAAGTTGGTGGCAATCTTATGGCAACTGAGGAGAGTTATAGGAAAAACTTGGGGTATCAACCCCGAGATTATGCGCTGGCTGTACACAGCAGTCGTAAGACCAAAGATCCATTATGGGTCGGCAGTGTGGTAGCCGAGCGCAGAAACTAGTACGATAGGTCGGAACCTAAGTAAGGTCCAGAGGATGGCATGCCTAGCAATAACAGGTGCAATGAGGACGACGCCAACGGCAGCATTAGAAGTAATGCTGGGGCTACCACCGCTTCAAATCCGGATAAAGAAGGAGGCGATGGCGGCCCACCTGAGGATGCGGGACTCAGGAAACTGGGCAAGTGAAGGGACATGCAAAAATAGCAAAGTGGGTGGAGCAGGAGATTCTTATCTCCACTCTCAGAGTGAATGAAGTGCAGGACAGGCTGAGATGGAATAGGAAGTTCAAACTTACTATTCCAAGCAGAGAAGAATGGAGAAACAATACAGTGGAGTTTCGCCCAGGAAGCTTAGTATGTTACACAGACGGATCCCGTCTGACTGACAAACAGGCCTCGGGCGCAGGGATCTATCTCGAAGGGAGAAACATACGAGAAAGTTTTCCAAGCTAAGGTGTTCGCCATCCTGGTCGTAGTAGAGAGGCAAGAGGTGAAGGAGGGACCAGAGCAGAAGATCTACATCTGTTCGGGTAGTCAGGCAGCATTCAAGGCTATCTGTCATCCCAGACCAAGCTCAGCATTGGTACAGGAATGTGGAAATGCCCTTGAGTTATTAGCCGAATCAAAGGAAGTTGAATTGGTATGGGACCGGGTCACAGTGGGGTGCCCGGAAACGAAAAATCAAACGAACTTGCTAGGGCCGGATCCGCGGAGCCGTTTCTGGGACCGGAGCCTGTACTAGATATAGTAAGGAGCCAAATTACGTCAGCCCTCGATGAATGGGCGGACAAGGCACTTGGTGAATACTGGAGGAATATCACAGGTTGCAGGCAGGCCAAGGAATTCATGGCCGGTCCAAGCAAATCAAGGAAGGAGTGTCTGCTTGGCAGAGACCGCTAAGTACTCCGCCTCCTCATAGGAGTACTCACAGGACACAACAGGCTAGGCAGACACCTATCACTTATGGGAATAGAGGACAACCCCACTTGCCGCAGATGTGGGGAAGACGAGGAAACGTCACTCCATTTTCTCGGCGAGTGCGAGGCGTACGGATTTTGGAATAGACAAACTCCAACAGGAGGAATTGATTATTATATTAGAGTGAACGGACCTACTGGCATTCATCAGAAGGTCAAGGAGATTCGTAAAGGAAATCTAGGTGAAGGAAGCGTAGATATGTGGAGAGCAGGGGTTAGCAAAAAGGGCCCATCGGGGCCTACTTGCTTGGCTACAGCCTCCCCACCTACTACTACTACTACTACTATTCAGGATAATGACAATTGACCTTACAAATGATGTATCTCATGTACAAAATGAGATACACAACGTTGCAACATAATATCAACAATTTGATTGAAATTGGAGTAGTAATTTCGATACAGCAAAATAATAATTTAAGCTGACATTTTATTTCATTATTTCGAAGTACCAACCTCAACTAAAGTGCTCAAAGAATCAAGTGGACCACTCAAATTTTCCTCGTTTTTCAAATGCGATAACTTTTTTGCAAATCAACAGATATGCAGTGTTCAAAAGATGTCTCCTTTCTGTTTAAGATTGATTGTTCGAAGTTTTCAAATAATGACATACCAAGGGGTCAAAAAGAGTGTGACATAATCTAAAATGACTAGGAGCTTCCGTATTCTCCAGGAATTTTTTCATCCTTCTGCAAATCAATTTTCTCAAATCTTGCAAGTCAATGCAAGTCAGTGCTGAATATTTCTCAACTGTCTATTCTGATAAGGATAGTAATGTGCCTACATTTCAAAACAAAAATCTAGTTGACATCAATACTCTCCATTTAAGCTTAATTGAGGTTTTTGAGGGTATTCAGAGTTTGAAGAATAAGTATTCCAGTGGCCCTGATGGTATCCCTCCAGTACTATTAAAAATATGTAATTGTACATTAGCTAATCCCATTCTATATTTATTTAACTTATCTCTGGATTCTTGTAATTTTCCAGATTTCTGGAAAAACAGTTTTGTCACCCCAATTTTTAAGTCAGGGGATCGTGAATCCATCAAAAATTACCGAGGTATTTGTATACAGTCTACTTTGCCAAAACTATTAGATAAACTCGTCACTGCCAAATTAACATGGTCCTGCAAGAATATTATAATACCTCAGCAACATGGTTTTTGTTCAGGAAGATCAACGGTAACCAACTTGCTGTCTTATCAGACATTTCTGTTACATGCCTTGGAGAGGGGTGAGCAAGTTGACGCAATTTACACAGACTTCTCCAAGGCATTTGATAGAGTGGACCACAAGATACTTTTAGAGAAACTTCACTCCCTTGGCTTTGCGGATAATATTGTGAAATGGCTGCGCAGCTTCCTCACTGGCCGCTCTCAAAGAGTTAAAATCAACAATTATATATCTAACGAAATTATGGTTACTTCGGGTGTCCCTCAGGGCTCTCACTGTGGACCTTTACTCTTCAATTTATTCATAAATGATATCTCTGATGTAATCAAAAGTGCAAACTTTTTATTATTTGCTGATGACTTGAAGTTGTTTCTCGTTGTTGATGATATCCTAGACAGTCAAACTCTTCAAAACGACCTTGATAACCTTCATTTATGGTGCGTTCAAAACAGTCTTGCTTTAAATACTGATAAATGTTTTACAATATCGTTCTCCCGCTCATTTAATGCTTCCTCATATAACTACAATATTAACAATACGATCCTTGAAAAAGTAACTGAAATTAAAGATCTTGGAATCATCTTTGATGAGCGTCTCACCTTCAAGAGTCAACTACTGAAAGTATCAGCATCTGCTAATAAAATGGTAGGTTTTCTAATGCGTAATACAAAACATTTTTCTTGTAACACAGTTAATACTTTATACTGCTCTCTTGTACGTTCCTTATTAGACTATGGTTGCATAATCTGGTCGCCACATTATAACTGTGATATCACACTAATTGAACAAGTCCAAATGAGATTTGCCAAGCACATTTCTTATAAAATGGGAACTTACAACAATTTCAATTATACAGATACTCTCAATGCCCTCAACTTAACCAACCTATCTATCAGACGCTTTCGGCTCGATAGTATCACCATGTTCAAGATTATCTCAGGTGTGATTGATTGTTGCGATCTTCTCAATATGATAAACTTCAATGTTCCATCATATTTCACTAGAAACACTGATCTTTTTACTATAAAAACTCATAGAACTAATTATGGGTTCTTCAGCCCATTGTCACGTATTTTGCGTAATTTCAACATATTAAACATTGATCCATTTGTCCATTCCTTAACTGATTTTAAAAATAAAATTTGTATAGTTGATCCTGGCTCGATCCACAATTAATCTATACTTTAGTGTTAATTTCTAAAGGTTGGTTAATACAGGAATTTTGTTTTGTATCCTTCAAACCAAACCATATAGTTCAAATTTGAAATTTCAATCAATATCAATGCTATATTATTGTTCTTATGCCATCTTGTCAATCTGTAATAATTAACTATTGTAATGGTGAATCCGTTTATTAAATAAATAAATAAATAAATATCTGGAACTCGTTTTGGAATTTCTGACCTTCCTTATACAGAATGCGAATTATCATTATTTTTCGAAATTCTGTATTTTTATGCATTTCTGTGGATTCGATCTGTACTGCACTGTAATACGAATTCATTCCTGGTGAAGTTATCCACCTGGCTTCAAGAGCAGCAGAGCTTTCGACAACAAAAATCAGGGTTTTTCGAATAATGTGTGAGATTTTGTGAAATGGTCTGATCATATTGATGCTGCTACACAATAATATGCTTGTGAAATTATGAATCCTCCAATCAGATGGATTGCCCCAGTCAAAATCTCGAAATAATTTCGTGATTTTCTAGATGTCAGTCAATTCCTGGGACCACAAGGGGGCACTTTTGCTTTATTCAGTACTTTACATGAAATATTGAACAAACGGTGATTTCCAGACAATCCTGAGTTGATATGAAATTAAGGAACCTCTATAGTGCACGTTTACTTCATCACTTTCGAAAAGTGCCCATGGAAAGACGATTCTAAGCCAGTTATTACATTTCAATCATTACAACACTCAATATAACATCCCATTATGAAAGAACTGCCAAGCTCGTGACAACCTGACAACAACTGTTCATTTGCAAAGTTATTGCATTTTAAAAAACGTCGAATATTTGAGTGGCCCTCTTAATTCTTCGAGCACTTTAGTGCACTGGCACAGTCAGCACATCCCTTAGTCGTTTACCTTGAAAACAACAGTCTACCAAAACTCGTTTGACTATAGAACGGCGAAGCTTTGGCATTCTTTGCCAATGGAAGTATTCCCAAAAACATATTACCTCCAGAAGTTCAAAAAAAATCCAACAACACCTACCTCCTCCCTCGTCTCCCTATCCTCTCTAGGTACGCGCGATGTTCCACGAACATTTTATAGAAATTTCCTTTCGTGCGCTCCAAGATATAAAAAAAATTATAGTATATATAGTTAAATATGTTCAAAATCACATTACCTACCTCCTCCTTCCAGATATACTTCGGTGAACCAATCACCCCGTATATAGTTTGATATATTTACTTATTTCATATACATTCCTAGTTATCACTTGAAAACTCAATGATAGAATGAATAAGCTATGGATTTGAATCATTTTTGTATTGTTTGTTCTGTTTTTCATTATCCAGGAGGATATTTGAATAAAGTCCTGCCAACTGGCCTCTGAAAATGTCGAGTATCTTTTCAAGGAGAAAGTTACAGGGGGGTAATTTATGGTTGATCATCATATTATACAGTACCAGTTCTTTTTGTTCGTAAACTTACATCTGCTTTTTCTACAGAATATATTGGAGATGTAGGATGAAGTACAGCCTTTTGTGCATAGTAGAACATTTCTGATATGTTCTTCAGAGTTTTGGCAGAACATTCTATACATGTTTCAATCTCAGAGAATTCTTCCATAATTTCAAATATTCCCTAAAAGACAAAATTAGTAAATCATAATTGTACACAGGGTGATTTAGAAATCACACAAAAAGTTCTTAGGTCAAACACCCGTCATAAAATGATTTAAGGGCAAGAAATGTATTGTTTATGCAGGGTATCAAATTGAAGAAAATGAATAGCCTTTCTGAATTGGATTCAATAATGATGAAGAAATTGAATCATTATATAGATATATTAACCTATTATCGTTTTTGTGTCATTTCCAAGGTAATCTTTAGGACAATTTAAAACTGTTCAACACTTGGCATAGTCTTCGCAAAGTCACTTGAGACAAATTCAGGAAAAAACATCACCGGCACGCGGTCCGTCTGAACTTTTCCAGCGGGGTGACTTTGCAATGACTATATAAAGACATTTTGTAAAATTCCATGGAAAGATGATGTGACTAATCTTTCTACGTAACATTTCACTTCCTGCAAGCATTTTTTCATTAGGTTGAAGATATAAACACTACCCTGCCTCCTTATATTTGAATTATGTAGGTATCTATGTATTTGTAAACAAGCAACTGTTTGCTGGCAACTATGATATACATGACTCACTCAAGAAACGAATTCTATATTCAACTAAGCACAACAAATATTTGGAGTGACACCCCAATAAATATCCTAGGTTTCAGAATATTCAATAACTTCACGGAATATTTGAAAAAACAAATAATGTATCTTCTTTCAAAAAATGCTTGAAATAAAGTGTTTCTACTCGCTTGACGAATATTTTCATAACTGTATCCAAATTCCTACTTAATAAAAATTGTATATTGATGGCCTAATTCTAACAACTTCTATCCCACTTGGACTGGATTTTACAGGAGACTAAAAACATTTCTGGAATCAATATATCACAATGCATGCGTAGAAATCAAATATTACATCATTCAAATCTCAGAAAAAGTAGTTATCAACTTGTTTTGAAGTTATAATCAACAATGCTTCTGCCGTGTGAGTTAGTGCTTCTGCAGTGTGGGTTACCACATATTATTCCATACTATTATTTGGTTATGTCATCTTGGATCTTCCTATTCAATGGAATAGGGTATGAGTGAGTTGGGATACAAAATATCTATTGAAAATGAGATATATCACCGATATTTGTCTATTTTCGAACATTGTATTTCCCAGTGGTCTATTGTGTTTCCATTTGGGACTATATATTATCTCTGTTCAACATTAGATAACCTACCCACCTCTAGTTGAACTTCATATATTCCAAAATACATAAGTAAGTTTTTATCATTACTGAACAAGAATTCTCATGAAAACCTGTGTGGGATGTTGATTTCCAATTCGAATATATGGCTGGGATATTCCAGCATACTTTTTGGAAATAAAATATTCTTTTGAAGGTAAATTTAGGTATATTTTTTCTACTCGACTTTTTACAATTCAATCATCAAAAACCCCATTGATGAAATTCTTCACTGTTTAAAAATTCTACTGTTCATGAGTAAAGATATAATCAGTTTAAAATTTATTTGTTTTTTTACCATTACCTCAAGAAGTCGGTATTATATTCATAATAGACATACATTTGAAAATATATATGAGTAAATTTTCAGTGAAGTGTAGAAAACAATCTCTCATTATGTTCAGACACTTTTTCCAATCTTCAAGTTATGAATCCACAACTTTCTCCTATAGATCACTTCCTTGTTTCCCAAATTATTAGTTTCAAATACAAATTTGGACTGTCCTGATTTTGGAAAAGTATGAAAGCTATACTCGGGATTTTTTTGCTCAAGATGAACAATGAGGTAGGTACACAACAATAATGATTCATGTTTTTAAACGTTTATAGAAGTTCTGGAACAAAATTATAGACAATTAAAACACAACTACTTCTCATACAAAACACACGCAAACTAATGTAAACAAAGCAATCAATGGCCCATACGTTAGTTATATTAGACAACAGTAGAGGGCGTACTCCTTAGCAAGATTCGCCTATAGAGAAAGTGTAAGCTTGTCCAGACATACCCTGTATAGCACAGATCACCCAACGTCCAAATGCTATACATAGGCTTCCCGCCAGAGCCGAATTTGTATGCGCATGTCCCAAAAAATGACATTTAACATAAAGATTGCACTTGTTTTGACCTATTGTAATTACCTGATCTGGATTAAAATCCAATATTCATTGTGAAATTTAATGAGTGTGTGTGAAAATTATCAGGCCCTTTTATCTCTACGCCGATATAGAGGCCGGATGATGACGGATTCATCGGGTAAAGTGGCCATACTTGAAACCAAACATGCTCCAGTCGGAGCACATATGATAGAATCTTGAACGGACTATGGTGTCTTCAGTGCTTGAGTGGAGAGATAATATTACATAACCATATATAATTTTTGAAAAAATTAATTACCTGATCTGGAGAAATTGTTACCCAAAGAAGAAGAAGAGAAGAAGACCTATTGTACTTATATATGTGAAAATATACAAGGTCTTTTATTTGAAAAAAACGAAGTTGCTGGCATTTCCAGAAAAACCGGAAGTCCACCATATTGGATTGTTAGGTGATCAAATCCGAAATGATTGCTAATATAACTGTACCAAATTTCAGAAAAATCCGTTTAGGACTGCAAAACTAACAGGGGTGACCCAATACCCTCTGTGTTACTGGGTAGGTCTACATGAGTTTTTCATCTCAAAATTGTAAATTCTATGAGCTGTTGAAGTCCTGCTACAGGAAACTGAACCACCCTGTATATATCATAATTCAGTTGATTCATTCAGTAAACAAAATAAAATTACTACTTCTATTGTCAGATTAAGGAAATTCCTCTACATAATTGTCAGATTATGATATAATGAAAATTTCATACCAGTCATTTTCAACCCATCAGATGCTATATTTTGACATTGTTACTATGGTAACCAGCAAATTTTTGGAAAATTTTTCATCCACATGAGCATGTAGATGTAAAATTAATAAGTGGAAATATTCTGGCACATGACAGCTATTATATAATTAAACAAAATTGAAATAATTTTGACAATATTTTTTATTTTCCAGAAGCCTAGAAAGAAAATCATATTTAATCAATTATTTTTATATAACAATGTATCTGATACTATACATTTTATTTTACTAGGGTACAGGGAGAGGAAATATTCACTTGATGTTTTCATTTGAAATATAATTCCAGGAGAGAATTGTCCCTCATTGCTTCGCAACTTGTGATAATTTTAAAAAAATTCATGTACTCAAAAAATGTCCACCAACAAGCCAGTCACAGTTAACATTCAGAAATAGGTCAGAAAATGAATACATAATAAAACATTTTATTATATTATATGGGTCAATACAACAAGGAGATTGAGATGAAGGGTCTGTATAATAATCTGATACACAGGAGTATTTCAAGGTCACTTTTTTTTTCATTTCCAATTCCAAGAATTGGTCATGACTTCTGATCACCTCCAAATCATCAGTCTTTTGAATAGGAGCTACTTGAGGGTTCACTCAACATCCCTTCTGAATATCTGAGGCACTCAAATGATTTTTTCTACCTATTCTCTACCCCCTTCATATGGCCAACCCCACAATTCAAACCAGCAGATTAATATTTTCAATTAATTAAATTAATAATAATTTTCTGTTATCAGAAACACCTGGGTTGAATGCACTATTAATATCTGAAGCTCTGGAGTATGTCTTTGTGACTGTTTTTTACATTTTTGAAAACCTGTACATGCTTCCCCCACCAGTGAAAGGGCATAGCTCATACAAACTTTTTTTTTGCATCTCATCTTCCTAATCTAATAGGTCCCCAGGATACTCAATGCTCCAGTAAATCCCCATTCAGCCTCTTTGCCTCCTCTACTACTAGTCAATTTCACTATTGGAAAACCACAAAAAACTTACATCAATAGTGGAATATTCCACAAGATCAATCTTATTTCCAACCAATACAACTGGGCATGGTGTATCAGGATGATTCTGTCTAATTAATGGCATCCAATGTGATGTTATTCTATCAATGGAATCATCATCATCAACAGCATACACAATACACACAACACTGGCCCTTCGAATTTGTTCATTCAATTCTATGTCAGTCTGCTCTGAAGTTGAGAAATCAACAATATTTGTTGGGACCTGTTCTGGGGTAACATCTGCTGGTATTGTGATTTCCTCTGCTTTTGGTGGAACATTTTCTGGAAATTCCTCACTAACCAATGATAGAATTAGGGAAGTTTTCCCAACCCCACTGTCTCCCACTAGCAAAATGCGAACGGACCGTTTTGGTGTTGATTTCACAACCATTTTCCTGATTTCCTGAAATGAGGTTAGAGGAGATTATCTAATGTTTATGAAATTGTGAATTTTTATATAGATATGTGTATATGATTCTGTGATTTCTAGTGATTCGATAATTATTCACATTGAATGATGTATTGACAAGGGGTACTGAAATGGATATAGATAGCTAGAGGTACATAAATAATTTTCAGTGTTTACCTTTGTAGCCTCTGGTCCTCCTTTTGAATTTTCTCACGAGAGCATCGCTTTTCAACATACAATTTACATAACTGGTACAATTATATCGTAACCTTTGCCGTAATATTGTATCAAAAACAAACCATTTATTTTCAGATTTCCAATTTTTTCAACAAAAACACAACTTGTAGAACAAGATGTCCAAAAAATAACATAAAAATTCTACTACACCATGGACCACCGACAGTACCGACACATGTCAAGTACACCTGATTTTGATTTATGATTTATTTCGTTTGATATTTTGTTGTGTAATTTTTTTCAAACAGCACCGGGGATCAGAGGGGTCATGAGTACGATTTGATTTCTTCATTACACCACACGACACGATCACACATTCATTGCCTATACAATATTTAAATATCCCCTATCCAGTAATATCTCCTAGGATGAAAATTTTTTATATGAAAACAGATTCAATAGACTCCCGCGCAGATATGTAATGTAATCCCCACTAATTCCCACCCTAACTAATCCCTAATCCTGATTCTGTCACGGAATTTCTGTGATCGTGGCTCTGAACTATAAAACCACAGATTTATAACGTGGTCAGTACTATCCCTACTAAATAATTATTGTGAACGAAAGTTTGTTTTTCGGGCTTTCACGCCAAAACTACTCAGCCGATTTTATCATGAAACTTTGTATACATTTTCAGATGTATTACAAAGAACATAGGATGCTTTTTATTAAAAAAAAAAATTTTCACGGAGGGTAAACCATAATTTCACCATGCCAGCATGAGCATGCCACGCGCACAACTGGCACCAAGCTATTATTTCAACCTTGGACACAAAATATCCAACAGTCAGACATGGAACTCTATACGTCGGTGAAAACAACTATTGAAAATACGTCTCTTGGGACCCGTATGTTTCGTATCGGACAAATATCTAACCATCTAACATAACATCAGGTGGGCACTTCGAACGCGCAAATTCATTACTGTGGAAGATACCCAGGATGAACAGAAGAGATACCGTTTTAGTCTTCGCACAAATTTCTAGAGACAGGGCGCAACAAATGATATATGCGGAAGCAATACAAAATTTTAAATTTTTGTTGTGGAAAACATTGTAACTTTCGTTGTAGTGAATTATGGGAGTGAAAACTTATTTAAGACCTGTCACTGGTCACTTATTAGCAAAAAATCTGAAGAGAACGGCTGACCCTGGCTGTACCAATTTTCATAATACTTTTATTTTTGGATTTCTATCAGTCCGGAATATAGACCAGGGTAGATAATTTTCGAAATCGAAGAAAATTATAGTACAATTGAACCCATTGAAAAAGAAAAAGAATATAACAAGAATGAAAAAAAAAAAAAGAATCACGGTCGATCTAAGGTCAGGAAGTGGAAGAAGGTGAGCATCTATGGGGGTGAGCTTTTTAGGGTGAAATACTCGATTTCTGAAGTTGTAGGTAATAAAACGATCTATAACTCTTGTGTATACATTATCTCACATAATATTTTTGTCTCTGTCACGGGAAAGAAGTTTGACATTGCATTTTTGTTGACAGTGTTGATACTGTTGACAGGGTATAAAATGTCACTTTTCATTAATTACTTTTTCCCGTTGGAAAAAAGTGAGAAGTGAGTACTTTTTTCCTGGATATATATATATATTTGTTGATAGCTTTTGTTGTGCTAGTTCCGAAAAATAAGCCAATAACACCGTCCTCGAAAAAGAATTGCTAGTCCTTTATCTTCCATTCCACTTCGCGGTTACGTAAATTACTGAACCACCACTAAGGCCGCAATTTCTTCAAATCTAGTCACAGAATCGGAATGACAGATATCTTATTACTTCAAACAAATGATAAAGATGATAAATTGTCTGCAACGCAGATGTAATTCCTGTTACAAACTTGAAATTTCACGTCGATCATTTTCTGATTTGATGTAATGTAATATCTTCTCAATATTCTGATTCGTCTTTTTTCTTGTCACAGGAAAAATACTGTATATTATACTCTCGAGAAAAATATTAGATTTTTGTTCACGGTTTTTGTCTCCCTCCGGTACGCGTCAGGAGAAACACAACGTGGAACGAAAATCTTGTTTTTCTCTTTGTATAATGAATATCAACTATTTTTACTTTATTTTGACTCAATATCGAAAAAGCATCCTAATTTTCTATCGAAAATTCACGGGTCAAAATATCTGCATTTTCAAAAAAGTCGGTGGGCTTTTTGTTCATTGTAATCTCTACTTATTCCTGATGGTCAGGATGGACAGAACCATTTCTGATGGTGTCACAGATATATATACATCAATAGGTTCTCAGAAAATGCAAAGAAACGAAACTCGAATCCGATTTTTTTATTTTAAATCAAATTATGTATACCATTTTGAGCTATTTATCAAACTTCACACTAATTACTCGAAAAACGTAAGATGCCCATATACGTATTAATAATCAAGATGCCAAGTTTGAAGTTACATTGAAGAACTAAGAAATGTCAAATGCATTAACATTGCAAAAAACTTGCGAAAATACCTAGTTGTTTTAAATAATGAAGAGGATTTCATCTATAAATGTGACTGCTGCTTTTTCGTTTACACCATCAAAAAGTAGAGATATCAACGACTTTTTTGAAAAAGCACATATTTTGACGCAAAAATTTTCCATTAAAAATTAGGGTGCTTTTTCGATATTAAGTTGAAATAAGATGAAAAAATGGATATTTCAAATCAAAAAATGTTTATGAGAAATACATTTTTTTGTAAAATCAGCGTACATACATCTAATTTATGTACGCTGGTAAAATATAAAAATAAAAAAACAAAAATTTGAGTTTTTCGAATACATTTTGAGGTTATGTGAAAAAAGTGTGGAAATAGAAGTTAGAGATCTTTTTATTACACAACTTTCCCATTCAGATTTTTTTTTATGGCTTCTATAATTTTGCTGCAAATCAAGAGAAACCGTTTTTCCGTAATCAATTTTCCCTTCCATCTTTGTTATATTCTCTTTTCAAAGACTTCAGCACTTCTCTAATTCGATAGTAAGTATTAAAATTCATAAAAATTGGAAAATTCAAGACAGCGGGTTCAATATGGCAGACTTTGTAATTGTATTTCGATTCTATTAAAAATTTGTATATGGGGGTTTCTGGGGTCGGAGATTATGATTCCTTCGTGAAAATTAGGATATTCAAGATGGCGGATCCAATATGGCAGACGGGTCTTAAAATTATATGATCCGATTCTATACCAAATTAGTAGCTCGGGGATTTCGAAGTCGGAGAATATTATTTCTTTGTCAATCAATATTAGGAAATTCAAGATGACGGATCCAATATAGGTATAGCGGATTTTTTAAATTATGATCCTACTCCTCCTCCAAATTGGTTTCAGGAAGTTTTAGGGGCCGGAGATTATGATTCATTCACCAATTAGAAAAATTATAGCTAATATGGCGGTGAATTCGAATTTTGTAGCGGGTCAATAATAGTTGACAATGTTCCGATTGAGCGCTGAGCGCTTCACGTACCCTCTCAATCCTGAAAAAAAAATTATTGAAATAGTGAGATCATTATCGGCCCCAACAATGAAAAGCTCTACAGTATTCTTTCAAATATTCACTTCGAAAATAAAACTTGTCTAAGGCGTACTCCACATAACGGCCCAGCAGTTGACCAAAACATATGTATAGCAGCTTTATCAATGCTGCATTTCGGATATTTCCATCAGAGATATATTTTTAGCATCGATAAGAGATCAGTTAAAATAAAATCAGTGATGCAACATCAGACTGGAACAAGTATAAAGCTCCTAATCTCGGGGTGGGGGGAAGGCCAAAAGTCACAATAATAATGAACTCTACTGTACACTATTTAGTTATAGTACCTATTGAAAAAAAGTTATTCTCTCTATATAAAACATGGGAATGGAAAATAAACTGGATAATAGATGAATATACCATAATCACACATTATGAGGGCGGGTACAGGGTGCGCCTCTTAAAATGGAACCCCCCCTCAACTCTTTTGTTTTCGGAGATATGAAAAAATGTTAAATAAAAAAGTTGTTTGAAACAACCCAAACTTTTATTTCGTGAAGTTGTTTCATATACAGGGTCATTCGTTTTTCCAGAAAGGACATCAACTTTGATTTTTTCAATGGAACACCCTATATATTTTCCAACAAGTCGATAGAGCCTTTTTTTCTGATTCCAAAAATATATATGAGTTGCATATTTGGATGAAAAGTAATTGAGTTATTGATGATCAAAGTTGACCAGAATACCGCTTTATGAATCTTCACTTCATAGGTAAGTTGAACATAGTGGGCTTTGAAATAATGTTTATAAATTGTTTGAGCTCCATGTTTTTCATGAATTTGAAAACGTTCGATATCTATAGAAAATAAAAATGGGTTACAGTTTGAATGAAAGATGCGAAATTTTGGAAATATACATTTCTTGCGGGAAAAATGCAACTGCTGCTCGTAGAGAATATGTGCATCGGTTTGGTGATCGTCCACTTCCATCATTGAATACCTTCAAGAGGATATTCGAAAAGTTCAGACGAGATAGTGGTAATTTGGGTGATATGAAAAGGAATCGGCAAAAAACGGTACTCATAGAAGAGACAGAGGAAAATATATTACTTTATTTCATTGAAGACCCTAGTCGTTCGACAAGAATGGCTGCAAATTACTTCAATATATCCACGACAAGTGTGGGACGAGTTTTGAAGAAGTATCATATGAAGCCATACAAAGTAATGCCAGTAAATTATTTGTTTCCTCAAGATCATCC